TTGAGAGCAACTTCTTGTTGTACAACAAGGTCCATTCAGGGAAGCAGAAGTGAATGAGTAATAATGGAAGAGAGTAGCCCGAGAAAGTTGCTTACCAGAATGAGTGCGCAAATGGCCAGTAAGGGCATCACGTCGTCGGCAAGCGTAGCTGCAGAAGGGGCATTTGAAGGGTTTTTCACCAGTGTGCAGCTTAATGTGTCGCAGCAGATTTCCTTTTTGGGTGAACGACACACCACACTGGTTACACTGGAAGGGCCTTTCACCTGAGAGAAGAAAGAACAGGAAGTCAATACCAGCYCCACAGTGACTGATTGTTGATGGAAGAGAGTCAACAAGTCTGGTGACACAGGGTTTTGCTGATTTATTTTCTTAAGTCATTACCTTTTCTAACATACACTTCATAGCAGGCAATAACAAATTTGGTTTGTAAATAAATTTAGCTATCTGTGGTTTATGTATGGTGGACTGCACAAAACGTGGGACTTTTAAACATACAGTATAACAATATCTAAATCTGGCATTTATTATTTATTTAAACTGAACAAGTACAAGTACCACTGTGTTCATTTACTTTATACACCATCCCTGCTGTGTGTGGAAATAAAGGCAGAATTTGATGTCATGAATCCATGCAAATAGTGCAAAAACAATATTATAATATTACGTTGTGTGTTTTGTATACTTAATATGTTAGAGCGTATGATATTAAAGTTGTCTTTAAAAAAGCATGGCTATACATTGTTTTTGTGAAATTGCTCTGGTAAGTCACCATAAATCCATCAGCAATGCATGCTTTCTCAATGGCAACAAACATTTCCCAAAATCCCAATAAACCACTTCACATCACCTCACATCTAATACTTTCATACACATCCATACCATGTGTAAGCATAAACTAAAATATAAAACCAAGTAAAACTAATAACAAAACATATTAAATAATAAATAATAAATAAAATATGAAAAATAAATATAAATAAATACAAATAGAATAAATCAAATAGAATAATGCCCTAATCTGTCACCCAAACGCCTCAATTGAGGAGTCACGCTTGATCAAAACTAAAAGGCTGTTTCACAACATAAGGGCCGCTGCAGCAAAAGTGCATTCATGTTTTTGCACAATAAATGGAACTTATATCATTTAAAAGTAGATGTTGAGATAATCTAAGTAAAACTCAAATAGGGATATGGAGGTTCAAATATGCATTCTATTTGTAAACAAAGTTAGGAGATACCAAATATGTGCTTTTAGACAATAAAATAATTTGGGATAACTGCATTTCTGTTGTTTTTAGAAAGAATAGAGATCAACTTAGATGTATTTGTGAGTTGTAGATAACACTATACCCACAAAGTTCACACGTTTATGACATTTTTAATGGCAAAATTAAAAATGATAATAATAATAAAAATTAAAAAATAAAAAATTAGTGGGTCCTCTGGATGGGTTCTTCTTTGGTGAAATGTTTTGTCTCTCGTCCAAGAGACTTCATCAGTCTGATGAGTTTCAGGTGAACTCAGCCTTATAAGCACTGCCTCCACATGGACAAACAGGTTAGTCAAGTGCAAAAGAGGGCCATCGCCTAACAATAGGCTTGATTAACTCTATTGTTCATAGAGGGTCATGTGCCCCACCACCTGACCCGTGTCATGTTATGCGCATGTAGTGAGTGCAGGTGGGGCTCGACGCCCCCAAGACTAATCAAGCCTATTGCTAGGCGATGACCCTATTTTGCATGTGACTAACCTGTTAGTCCATGTGGAGGCAGTGCTTGTAAGGCTGAGTTCACCTGAAACTCATCAGACTGAAGAAGTCTCTTGGAGGAGAGACGAAACGTTTCACTAAAGAAGAACCCATCCAGAGGACCTACTTGTTTTTTTTTTCTTTTTGAATAATACCTCTATTTGAGGTTATGGTGCTCGATTTTACTCTTGCTCATTAGTAGCTTCAAAAAGATCATTGAAGCCGATTATGTACCATAGCTCTTTAAACCCAGAATAATCTGTCTTTATTAGTTTTCATTCCTTGATTTTACAAATAATTTGGGCATAAAATGCTAGCAACAACAAATTGAAAACATAACTGTAATTTTCACAGGACTTTATCTGAATGCCTTATTTTTAATGTACGCCACTTCTTTGTGTTCTGGTGGCATAGCTTTTATTTTCCAGCCAAAAGGAAAACTGGAAATTTGACCTTGATGGTGTGACAGCTAAAGGAGTCATGGCGTCAGTTGAAACAGGTTACGGAAGATTCCAAGGATATTTTTTTTCCCTGATAATCATTTCAAGACTAAACTGTTCTTTAAAAGTAAGTAACAAGACTCCACCCACTGTCAAGAAAAAACAAAGAAAGGTGTCTGACTCATTGTCTTTTTATCTTGGATAGGAAAAAAAGAAACAAAAGAAAAAAACAGCATCTAAAAATGTTTGTAATTTCTTTACACACTGTAAAAATGTTACGTGGAAACACATTCCTTACCATTTGGTTGCCGATTTCCTGTGTCTGCTGATACATTTGGTCCTGACAAGCTATCCTGTGTATCGCTCGGGCTGCTAGTCATTGATTCATCCTGTGCTACGCCTTCATCTCCTGTTTGAACCATGGTTTCGGCTGTCGGGCTGCTGTTTTCAGCTTCATCCATCATTTCCTCTTGCTTAATTGTCAGTTCTTTAAAAACAAACAAACAAAATATGTGATTCTTCTAACATTTCATGGGTAGTAAAATCCATTTGTTGATTAGCTGATCATTTGGTTACTGTATGTGGGTGAGTGTCCACCATAATAATGAAGAATAAATATATCAACATTAAACAACTTGTGCATTAAAACAGTATATGCTGGTGACGTTTTGGCTAAGAAGCAAATTAATACTTTTAGGGGCTTGATTTGGAAGTAGCAGCTCAGTCAAAAGACAGAATGAAGTAGGATCAACAGTGACTTGAAGAGATGATAAGAGATGGTAAGACAAAAAAAAAGTAAGAAACAAGATGGTCTGGTTTAGAGTTGTCCCTGGGGAGAAAAAAAGGAGTGTCAGAGGCCCATTGCTGGCTGCTTGTTGCTGACTAGCAATGGGAGATTCTCTGGATGACAAGGGCAAAAGATTGTGCAACAATGTATGTGTATGGGTGTGTTTATGGAAGTGGGAGGAGGCAGAAAAAAATGACTTCCACAAGTTTTTTGGTTATCAATTACTACATGTAACAAATTGATTATATAAAAATAATTAAAATCAAATATTGATAATAACAAAAATAGCTATAATTTCTACTTTTTCAATTAATTTATATAAAAAAAAATTGTAATTCTTAAACAATGGCGATTATTTCTGACAAAGCATTGACAAAGGCCAATTAGAATAAAATTATCATTAATATATGCATCAGTTGTGGCACGGTGGTTCAGGTAGAGCTGATGCCTCTCAGCAAGAAGGTCGCCGGTTCAAATCCCGGCCTGGGGACCTTTCTGGGTAGATTTTGCATGTTCTCTCGGTGCATGCATGGGTTCTCTCCGGGTACTCCGGCTTCCTCCCACAAACCAAAAACATGTCTGATAGGTTAATTGATAACTCTAAATTGTCCCTAGGTGTGAGTGAGAGAATGAGTGGCTGTTTGTATCTATGCGTGGCCCTGTGATGGACTTGCGACCTGTCCAGGTTGTACCCCGCCCCTCGCACTGCGACTGCTGGATATGGGCGCCGGTGACAGAAAATGTGTTCAGAAAATGGATGGATGGATGGATTTGCATCAATTTATTTATTTATTTTTGTGTGTATTACAGAGAAATGGTGCAAGTGAGATTTGGCATCTTTACTTTTTTGAAGTTGATTTTCTTTTTTCAAAATACTCTATTTTTTATGTACCTTGTGTCCAAACATGTGGTACTCTTGAAGGCTTGTGTATTTAAATAAATGTGAAAAGGGCCAGTTTGAGTACAGCTTAAAATAAAAGAAATGGGAAAAAAACATCTGAGCAGTTTGCAGAACAGTATGTAAACACAACTCACTGATCCTGATCATCTTGTTTTGGGATTAACAGGGACTATAATCACGGTGTGACTCTTTGTGGTTGTTCCTTCCGAAAATCCTCCCATTAAACTGCATCAGTCAACTACACTCACAGGCTTTGGATCTGAATCTATTGACTCTTCAAAGCCCAATAAAAGAAATGTACATATGTGACAGCTTTCTTTTTATAGATTATAGGAAACCAGCTCATTAGGAGACTGTATTTTTCAATCTGCCACTGTATGTTTCAGGAGCACAGAAGAACACATCCCAATACTCATGTTGAAAACAAGCTTTGTCTTCGACAGCTGTATCCTGGCAACACAGAGAAGACCTTGCTATTCAGCTCTGTGTGCCTTTACATCTGTCTCTCCATTGTAGGAGAAAGGAATGTATAGAGTGGTCAGATGAGGAAATGCTTGAATATCTGTTGCTAAGGCCAAAAGCAAAGAGAATAAAACAAAACAAAATAATGTTTAATGTGTACGTCATGGCACATTTTGATATACTGTACATGAGGTCCCCATGATCTTTAAAGAAATAGGAACAAAGGATATCATTGACTGAGGTATTTGATTGACAGAAGCAAAACATTATGAAGGAGCCATTCTGTCACATTACCTCCCAACCTGTCATCTAACTCAAAAGGTGTAATTTTTTCCTCTGCATTTTTTTGACAGCCAAACTGAAAAGAAAATTGGTGGACACATTCAAGCTTCCAAGTTTGATGGTAAGTTTGTCTATATGCTTCATGTCGCTTATCTATATTCAATAATATTCAACTTTTTTTGCAAGAAAATCTCAAATAACTAAATGTGTTGGGTGGCTTCTGCAGTTGCAACCAACTCATTTCCAATTCCAGTTTTATTTACACACCCCTTTTAAACTTCTCAAAAGTACAAAGTATTAATACAATAAAGCAAGTAAATTATATACACAACCCATTCTCACTCCCAAGTCGTCACATATTGACACTTTTCCAAGGTTCCCTCTGCGTCCGATTTTGACGTGTCGGGTACCCCCCTCGTGTCAGTTATTGACGAGATGGGGTGGAATCTGTTGTCATGATTTCAGAAAGTGTATAAAATGCACAAAAACTAACCATCCCAAAGCCTAAAATTGCCTTTATTCACTCTAGACATCCTGTCCCTGACCCTAGTACCTAAAATTAACCATTTTTAGAAAGTGCAAAAAATTCACGTCAACTACGTGTTCCAAAGCCAAAAATTACATAATATTCGCCCTAGACATCCTATTCCTGACCCCACTACCTAAAATTAACCATTAACCCTGATCCATAGTATTAACACCGGACCACAACTCAAAGATCCCTATATTTTGCGTCCCAACGCGTCAAACCTGGATGCCGAGGGAACCCGTAAATGCCTGGTGCGTCAATACACGACGCAACGGGTTTACCCAACGCGTCAAAATAAGACGCAGAGGGAACCTTGGAAAAGTGTCAATATGTGATGAGTCGGGTGCGAGAATGTGTTAGATATTCATTCATTTATAATGTAAAACTTATAATCAATCAATAAAACCATCAAATTGGCATCTACAAATTATTGAACACCAATGAAAAAAAAAGATAAATTTTAAACACTTGCTTAAAATCAATTAAATAAGTTGCCTAATGTGCAAAGGCAATTTATTCAAATTTTTGGCTCCACAACCCTAAAAACGTGGTTCCCTCTGAGCTTATATCTAGTTTTTGGCAGTCAGATGCAGTTGAACAGCAGAAATGAGAGAACGGGCAGGTGAGGGTGTAGCAACGCAGAAAGGTAAGGAAGGGCAAGACCATTTTAAGATTTGAAAAAAATAATAATTCTAGGAAGGATACTAAAATGGACTGTCAACTAATGGAGAACTTTTAAAACATGTGTGAGGTGATTTCAAGTAAAGAGTCAAGTTAAAGTCTGGCAGGGCATCATTTCCTTTAGGGGGCAGATAAATCAGCAGTATCTCTTTGAGAAAATCATCTCACGGCTGCTTCTCTCTCTGTCTTAAACTGGTGGTAAAAATAGTCTCTGTAATACTGTCAGCCACCTTGTCTCGCTTTGTTTCCCCTTTTCTTAATCTGCTGCTTCATTGTGACATTGCAAGAAACAGTTTTCTGGTCAGAAGGCTTAGCAGAACCTAGTAAAGACAAAGTTATTGTGCAGCAAGGTGCTGAATGGCTTGATTCTATATAGATATGGAATATTTATTTTGCATATCATAAAGCATTGGATTATTTGTTTGAGACAATCCAGACTGAGTTATTCCAGTGTTGAGCTGTTGTAAAAAAGCACTTGTTCCATATTAATAAACAAAGTGACAGTCAGCATGCAAGCCACCTGATGAGCATAGAGGCCTCTGTTTGCAGATGTATTTATTATTTCTTATTAACCTGTTTACTTTTATGCAAGTAAAGTGGAAACTCACACCTTAACTGTCACATTACAACCAGTTTATGAAGAATTATTAACACTGCACGTGATTAGAATCAAGCCTATTTGCACTTTCTAAGGGAGACGATGATTATGTATGTCATGCATTTGTCAGACTGCAAGGATGTTTATTTACTTGGTACTCACCACTGGGGGAATTAGGACCCTGAGGAACCGTCTGTCCATTAGGTGCTGACATATCCACTGACATTCTCGGATTCTCCTTACCGGAAGAGCATTGGCCGTTACCTGGGAAACACAGAAACACGGCAAACCTTATTGGGCTGTACATTAAGGCGTTTGACAGGGAAAAAATACTGTTATATAAGACAGACCAATTTCATTGTTCATCACATTAAATAATAAAGTGATTGTTTAGGTAATTTTTTAAGCCATAACTAATAATGAAACTTTTAAGCCACAGGCAAATAAATAAATCTTAAGAAATATGAACATATATATATATATTTTTCTTTTCAAACTCACTCAAAAGGACTGTTCTTTATTATCATGAAGTCTGTATTATGCAGGGTGTAAAAACCTCAGCTGTCTTTAAGCAGCAGTCCTGACATGCACCAAATGTAGATCAGATTGCATCCTCTCAGCAACCTGTACAAAATCCAGGTTATGGATAGCCCAGTGTCCACTCAGAGGGAGAGCTAACTACCCCCTTATCCCATTACACCCCAGCCCAGTCAGGGTCACCTGAACAATACAGTGGCAACAGGCGAACACTCCCTCTGACCCAGGTGTCAGATCCCTTAGGAACTACGGCAGGTTATCATTTACAACTACATTACAAAGACTTTACTGACAGGAGAAAAATAAATAAATAAAATGGATAAATGTTTCAAAGAAAGTGTTAACCAAAATAGATAAATGCCTGTCAAATTTTGAGGAATGTTTTAATATATTATTGCTGGTGTAAATGTCTGAAATAATTCAGCGAAAGAACCAAAAGCTGTTACTGTAAGTCTTCATTTGCTATGGCCATCCCACACTCACTTGACAACCTCTCCTGTATTGTTGCACTGTGGTGGCAGCCTCACTGAGTGGGCCTTACTGGGAGACGTTGCAATCCCTGGGCCTGGGCTCAGGTTGCACACATTGGGGTTGGAGGAAATCTCAGGTGACCAGGCCTGGCTATCCCTTGGCCATGCTGTCCTGGAGACAGGAGTGGCCCAGATTTGTCAAGAAGGATTTTCCGTTAGCTTTCTGTAACAGATGCTGACAGATGCTAAGCAGCACCATAACTATGCAGGCTCAGGCTTTAAAGTGATAGATCGGGGCTGTCCCAGTTAGACACAGAAGTATATTGGTCTTTCATTAAGGACTTAAAAAAACTCATAAATGTAATCCCTGTAACATTATCTTTGACAAGAAAAAAATAATGTGGTTAGACTGTCATATAGCTCAACTCATTTAAGGTCCCCGTATAAACCTTTACTAGTGAGCTGGTTGCTCTAAAGTGTTTGAGGCTATGATTAAGCATTCATAAACAGAATTAAAGGTCTGCGTTGGTGTCCTACAAATGCTGAGTCAAACCTCTATGAACAGCAAAATCAAAATATCAATCAGATATGACTTGCTGGGAAAAGGTAATTTGAGTAACACACAAAATTTGGATGATTTATTGTGTTTGCAAATGGAAAGGAACAAATGTCTATACATAAAAAGTGTAGGTGTCATTATTGCTGATTTCATTACTGACACTGAATGAGTGTAGCTTCCCTAGTCTGGTTATTCACTCAGCAATGTAACAAATTGAGTTTCTAGTTTTACAATTTATTTAACTTTTAAAAAAATCACACATTTAGATGTATTTATAGGTAAACGAAAAGATGTGTATAGAATAGCTGAAAACCTTTAATCACATGTCTAGTGGAATAAAACATTTTTTATTTAATTTCCATGTATCATCAAGAGGGTTTATTCTCCTTCGTTAGAACATAGAGATTGCTGTCTAACCTARATTATTTAAATAAAAACAAAAATCAAATGAAAAATATGCACTACAGCTAAAAGTGTACATGTAAATGCTTCATGTAGATGTGGTTACAGATATTAAACAGGAATGTTCTTTGCACAAAAAAGAATGACCACGTGTGACCAAATGACACAAGAGGGTCATTTTGAAACCGAGGGCAGCAGAAGGCTTTAAAGTACTAACGACAATACAAAGCATACTCCCACAATTTTATTTCATATAAAAACATTCGGATGACAGCAAATGATTTTGTATTCATATGGGTTTTGTGTTTGAGAAAATCCCCCGAGTAATTAGAATGACAGAAACATGAATAAAGAAACATACGTGACACCATTTCATAACTTCGGTAAAGAGAGAATGATTCCATTAAATGATAAATTCATAATGTTTATATGAGAGAAGTAGAGGCGTGAGAAAAATGATGACTTTCTATGAAACTATGATAATGTCAAAACAATGGGGAGAGTAAAAGTGCTTTCCAGCACCAATGTAAGAATCTCAGTAAACGTCACTGTACAGCATAATCTCAATTTCTATTGTCTCATGTCTTCTCAAAACCACACTAATTAATGTTTCGGGAAGAAAAAAAACATGTTTAAACCCAGATGCAGTCAATTCAAGTAATGCCAAGATGTGCCCTTTTTTAAATTTATTTTTCCTTTTATCGTCATACGTTTGTTTTGTACTACGGACACAAGTCGATCAGAAATTGAAACCAAAAAACGATGAGTCCCATATTTTTATACACTATCTGGTTGCATGTCTCATATCATTACTCTGACTCACAGGTACTATTTCCATCACTTACGTAAAGATCAAATAAATACAGAAAATTTCACTCTTATGACCTTTCACGACTTTAAATGATTTTCCCGATTGAAGTCTGTGTTGGAATCTCTACAACCAGTCTTAACATGTAGTGGTAAGTCAGCTTCCAGCCATAAGCAAATGTCACACTATGCTCATTTCCTCAAGTTGTCATTTTCAGTTATTTATTTTTACATTTTTGCACTTCACACATTTTCACAATTTATTTTAATGAAAATCAATATGTTTTAACTCATATTGCATTTAGGAAAAATAATTTACCAGCCTGTCTGACCATACTTTTATTTTTCCATTTTTTTATTTGTGTTCACAAATCAAAAAACAAAGTTAACTTTCTGTTTTAAAAGTTGAAAAGATCACACTTTTCTCTGACTGTGAAGTTTGAAGAAACACTATGCATATTTGCAGGAACTATTTGTTTTAAATCAATTTGATTGCTTTCAATAAAACAGAAATGTTGCCCACCTTTGTCTAACAGGAACTCAAGCCACTGATAAACAACAATGCATATAGTTTGAAAGAAGCTATCACATAAGTAATCTTAAATGTTTGTAGACACAGCAGTTTATTTATCATGGTAAGGGCAACAAAGACCCGTGAAAAATGGATAATTAGCAATGAGTGAGGACATGCAAAACAATAGTACGATTTAGAATTGGAGGTTGTACACATGTGGCTCGGTCTCGTTGTGTAGCAAGACGTGAATGATCTGTACGTCATTCGTTTCCACACAGTCTTAAGTGTGGACATAACAACATCTGGGACCAAAGAGAAGCCAAAGTGTCATAGTTCTCATGTCAAGTAAAGAAAAAAAAATCTTATTATTATTATTTCCAAAGTCAGTATTTTAGAAGCAACCCACAGATGGATGAACGAAAGAAGAGCCTCCATTTCTCCTTCCACCTGCCCGCCTGCCAAGTGTTCCTACAAACACAAGCCCTCAATGGAGAACTAAAAGTCCCCACTGATGTCATCAACAATATGCTAGCTGTTCTGAAATATGTGCAACAAAGCAAAATACGAAGGGGGGCAGGGAAGAAATTCAGAGACCTACCCAAAGGAAACCAACAAAGGGCATGGAGGACCACAAAGCGCATATCCAGTGTGCGCTGCTTTCAACAGGAAGTGCTAATGCATCATTTTCTCTACCTTTAGGGCTAAACAGGAAAAAGACTGCACTTTGGGGAAAATCCCTTAAAATGTTTATCATGTGATTGCAAGCTTTTTATGTTTATATGTAATTTGTATTTTTGTGGCGGTATTCAACCAGTGTCGAAGCAGAATGCAGAGAGAGTTAAAATTTTTAAATAGTTAAAACAGAAAAAAAGCATGCAATGGGAAATTTAACAAGCATTATCTCGATCAGCAAAATAAAAAAAAAACATTCTATAACTGCACATCATTTTTGCATATGGGAGCAAGTGATTTTAGTGACTTACTTGCTGAATAATCTGCAGAAGCCTCCATTTCAATTTCTTTAGGAGTGCTGTAGAGTAAAAAAAAAACGTTATTGCAACCATCACCTAACTTTAGAATGAATAGGTTTTTTGCACATTTGCTGTTATCTTGATTCTTTATTACTTTGAAAGGATTTCCGCAACGAAGCTATTATTATTCACGTAAAAGATCCATTATTTTGCTTAAGGTACTAAAAGAAAAAAATCTAAATATGTAGTTCCTACATAGCAGAGGCATCAGTTTTGCGAAACATGACAACAGTGGTTATGTTCAAGTTAGATTAAAAAATATATCAAACTATCATAAATGTTTAGCTGAATTGTTGTTAACAGACGTGCGTTACGTTAATTCAAAATGGTGGTCTTGTGTCAACAGCAGAGACATTATTGCACTGATGATGTTGCCGTTTCACAAGCTTTCTGCATGCAGACAAACTGATACACGTCTCATCCAACTTTTAGACTTTAAGCCACTTTGACTGTCCACGTAAACACACCTGTAAGTAAATCAAAGGAAAATAAATGCTAGAAGCAATATTTTACTTTTGTTGTCAAATTCCTAAAATGGATGAAGATATGCCATAAAATCTGTGGATGTTGAATGAACGTCTTTGTGTGAAAAACTGGTATTTTTAAAATGCAATTAGCAGCATAAACAATGGAGTTATAGCATTCAGCTTCCCATAAATGTGTTTTATTTGTGCCCTGAACATCAACTGAATGTAGTGATTTTAGCCGTAAATCTGTCACTTATGAATTTAAAACTTGACCACATCTTTAGATACTGATCTACTTTTAATTTTATAGAGGACTTGGTGTATATATATGAATGTAATGAATACAACCCCAAGCAGCTTAGCATCACAGTATTATTGTGACTTCCTCAATACATAAAATTTAACCATTTATTAGAAAAAAAACAACCCGCTGCAAATTAACACTTCCTCATTACTATTATTCACTTTTAATTTAAGTTTTTTTTTCTTCCTTACATCTTGCCAACTAGACAAAAAAAGCCTCTTGAAGTTTACCTCATAGTTTGAACTTTTCTGAGTTTCACTCAAGAAGGAAAACTCTGCTGGCAAACTGCCAAACAGCATGTTTCAAATGTAATTGTTTGCTACTTAAGATGATTGTTTACATCATTTGAAAGTTAAGTT